AGTTAGAGAGCGACGAGGGACGGGAATCGTCGATTCAGACGACGATACCAGGAGGTGCACGGCAACTGCACGGTTCCGAGTTAATCCTACTTGGCGAGCAACTTCTTGCAAAAAGGTACTATGTGATGTTGGAGAAAATTCTAACTTCCAGACCGAGCATGTTCGCTATATAAGGAGATTTCTTTTCTGTCTTCTTATATAGCTCGCTTGAATACTACAAGACATGGATCGCTTATAGAAAGCTTAGAAAACTTGATGATGTTCATACGTATCGCCCTAGATACGCAGTTTAGAGGAAAAGCAACAATGACGACTCTAACGCGTCTTTTTGAGCAGCAAAATCCATCTGGACGTTAGTCGAGTAGTTTACAGCGTTTCATCTTTTACCTTTTACAGCGTCTGAGCTTCCGTTGTTTGGGCCCCAGAACAACTTACCTCTGCCATCGAATCGTTTTAAAGGCACAGTTCAAGATAGTTTTTAGGCACCCATTTTTTTCGAAAGGCGGAGGTATAGGTTGGGAATAGTTCATCGGTAATGAAATAAGCGAGAATTCGCCAATTCATTCCGCGTATTTCGAGAAAAATAGGCTCCTCAAAGATAGGGATAATAGAGGGTGCACGAGATTGCCATGACGAAAAAGGGCTATTCGAACGAGGTTTCAGCTGTTGCAACTGCGCAAAGAACTGACTACATCAAGCCAGAACTGTACAGAACTACCTTCCACTGTCATTATTGGTCACGACAAGTTCTTCTATCTCCCTACATTGGCTTCCTTGCGAATGGTGCAGCCTCTACAGCGTCAATAAAACTCGTCCGAGGACACTCACTCTACAACCTTTGAGCCTTCATAACGTCCTATCTAGCCCGTTTTCAGGTATGGCAGCGCCACATACGGTATATGGAGGTCCTACAAATACATTCTATAAGTCTCTAGGGATATCTCGAAAGTCTTTTTTTCGTGAGCTGTGCCTTTGAATATCCAGTTGCGCATTCATGATCTTACTTTCAAACGATGCTACCACAGCTCTACTCCATTCCCATTCAAAACTATCCTTCATAACTGGACTCATACCTCGAATTAACCGATGACGCCATCCCAGCAACGTAGCCGCTATTTATCGGTTGCGGTAATTAAGTAATCGTGCCAACGCACAACAAACACTCTAGTTGACGTTTAGCCACGTCGCATAGGAAAGCGGAGTTCAGCAAGGTGCGGACTTTTGTTCCCTTATTGGTTTGGTTTTTCTTTTTTGTTTCGAATAGTGTTTTACATTTACTTGCATTGTTCAGGTACTTCGATGTCTTACTACGAACAGGCCGGTTCAAGTGCTGCTGGCATTGATCATCGACGGAAATGGGACCAGGTGTGATAATAATAGGAATTGCTATTTGGAAAGAGTTTGATTTTACAAACCGGATGTTCTAGGACGAGTACGAGAAGAAGGCCTTAGAACGAATAAAATTAGAAAAACTGGAGGATCTTACCAGGAGAGGTGGCAGACCAAAAGATGAACCGAAAGTGAAAAGAGAGTTGCTGAAGGCCAGAGATTACAAGGTCGTTACACTCATAATCATCCTCGTTGTTTTTGAAACTGATTATCAGTACATTACTAATTCACATGTATGTTTAGGTCGATCTTGAATCAAAGTTGGGTCGCTCTGTTGTGATAAACAAAACTACACCTGCAGCTGAAACTGGTGGTTACTACTGCGATGTCTGTGATTGTGTAGTTAAAGATTCGATTAACTTCCTTGATCACATAAATGGCAAAAATCACCAGAGGTTCGAATTTTTTAAAGTTTGAGGAAATAATTGGTGGAAAGTTTCGCATTACAGGAATATGGGAATGTCAATGAAAGTGAAGCGAAGCACGTTGGATGATGTCAAGGAACGGTTCAAACTCAAATTAGCTGAAAGTAACTTGTTGCCTACAATCTCTCTTCTTTTTCATCTCTTAGAAGCCTACTCAAAACTTTTGCAGAGGAATACGAAAAGAAACAAAAAAATATGGAAGAGATATTAGGAGATGTATATGAAGAAGAAGCCAAAATGAACGATTACAAAAAGGTGTGGTTGAAATTTACCAGTGAACATACTTTCTGTTTAAAATTACCTATATTCTGTTTGTCCATAATTACCTTTGAGTATAAAACTTCTCGAAAACTATTTTCTGTTCATTTAGGAGAAGAAAGCTGAACAACGCAAACGAAAGCTGATAGAATCACTACCCGAGGAGGAAGAACTGGATCCTGAGCTTAAAGCCATGATGGGTTTTGGTGGTTTTGGGACTTCGAAAAAGAAGTAGTCTCAAGTGACTTATTTTTTCGTGACATTTTTTGTTACCTGTAAAACAATGCTAGTAGTAATTGGAAGAGGAGTATATCGCGGTTGATTGGAGTGGTTTGCTCTGCGGCGTAAGCTATTATGAGGGTGTGCTTGAAGAGAATCAAGGCAATAAATACATTGATCGTCAGTTTTTCATTTGGCAGATGCAATCCGACGCATCTGAATTTCTCTTCATCAGTGGGAATCCAGTCTGATTTATTGGACTTTTAGAACTTTAGCAGCTCATTTTCTCTCAAATTTAGTTCGTGCGCTACCATCAATAATGTTTCAGTGTTTGCAGTTGTTGCTCAGCATTGCCTCATTTTCGTATTGTATGTAAGGAGCTGTATGAGAGTAGGTTTTGATAAAAAGATTTTTCTCAATTGTTATCTTATATTTTTT